CTTTACTCATCAGTCATCAGTTTTCCAGAAGCATCAAAACTATTTTGTTTTTTGTTGGCCAGTGGTCTGTTCTCCTTTATTAAGTCGATTCAGTAAGATAAGGAAATGTGGGCTTGGCCTTCTGTCAGAGGATTCTTTAATTCTCTTTGCTCCAGGACACATTCTCTGGGAGTGCACAGGACTAACCTTGTCCTCATCGTATTCTCACTTTTCTCTGTGTCTGCTGACATGTAGAACTCCGTCGCATTTGCTTGTGTGCATAATTTGTCTCCTCTTGTTTACTACTTTTCCTCATCCTCCACATACCAGGATCAGAAATGAGAGGTTGATTTTTATTATCCATTTATTTTTAGTGCCTAGTGCTGTGCCTGGAACTTTTAATAAATGACTGGTAGTAACAATAAAGGCTACTGTTTATCAATCTTCCTTGGTAGAAGGGGCGATTTCTTAAGTACTTTACATTCTTTACTGTTGATTCTTCCATCAGTCCTGTATTTTTCTGTTATAGATGAATATATTAAACTGAGGGAGATTAAATATCTTATACAAGATCACACCATGATATAGTAGAACAAGCAAGACTCATATGTTTAGATGAAGGAAGGAAAAATAAAACCGGATACATTCTTGTTTACATTTCGTAATTACAAACTTGGTTTCTCTCAACATTTAAATTATGTAAACTTTGCTAGGATATAGTGGAAACTGACCCAAAAAATAACATTTAACAGTTTTAGAATTTTCTCCCCCCACCCCTTAAGAGACTTCCTGAAGTCCCATATGACTTGAATCTTTTACTTATTTAGACCCATGACCTCATCAAGTTGTAGGGAAGACTGCAAGGTTATCCTGAGCTCTAGTCTAACAGGAAAACTGATTACTTTCTGCAGTTGTTTGCTAGTTTCCTTGTCTACCCCTGTAGTTTCTCTGCTCTTACGAGTCAGAATGCTGTCTAGCTCAGCATCTATGTCCTTTCTTTTCTGTAAGGTGGAGTTCAAGTGCTGCCTCCACTCCAGGTCTTCTTAGTGAGGGGGAAGCGCTCCTCCCTCGCCACCACCTTGGAGAGCATGCGGTGCCCAGCAGTGTGTGGCAGGGCTTAGTGCTCATTTGGTACTTGTTGAATGAATACTTAACTTGTCTTTTCTGAAAAGAAGAGCAATTTTATTTATGTTTATTTTTATAATTTCCTTCATAGCATTCCAAGAGAAAGGACTAGTAGTATATTTCATTAATTGTAAATATAGGTTTTAAGCACATGATAATGAAATTGTTTTAAATTAATGGGCTATAAAGATTGTTGAGTTAAAGTTTGATTCTTAGTATATTATTCTATGTATAATCCAGAAACATGTACTTTAATATATTGTCCCCTGGAGTTTAGTTTAAGGAAAATAGTCATGTTAGATGAATGTTATTTATAGTGGAAAATTGCCTAGATGTCTGTGTTTTGTTACTTGTAATTACTTTAGAGTAGCTTTTAAAATTTAAATGAAAAATATCTTACTGATAATTGCTTATAAGGCCTTCTATTAAAAATAGCAAAAGTTCATTTGGAGACTTACCAAATTTGTTTGGAAACATAGAAAAATATAATTGTGCCAGAGGAAAAAATTTAAAAAGTATTCCATCTCACAATTGAAAGATCAGTAAAATTAATATCTCAACATACATAACTTTTGATATTAATTATAATATATGCAGCTTCTAGTAACTACTCAGTTTGTTCTTGCTACTATAAATAAAATGCAGGTAGTTTCTTTGAGTCTTTTTTTGCATACTTAGGATTAATTTGGAATTGTATATAAGGTAAAATTAAAAGTGAAGTCAGTGTTTAAATTCTAAAACTGTATTATGATAAGTTACACATCACCATTAATCTCCCCTCGAAATACTCCCCCTTGCTTCCAGCACATGGATCCTGTGGTCCTCACTACTTTCTGAAGCATTCCTGAGGTCATTTCTCATGTCTTTAGTTGCACTGTTGTGACTGCTTTCATGTGTCCTCAATCCATTCCGAACGGTCCCTTCATGGTCATTTTGACTCTAGGGAGAAATCAGAGTCTCATAGATCGAGGTCAGGTGAATCAGACGGATGAAGACTTACTGTAATGTTTTTTCAGCCTGCCTTCCTGTTGGAAGCCAGTTGGTGGGGGGATGCCACCATATTTTTTAATCACACTTCATAAAGCCACTCCTGAAAGAAGTGGGGTGTGAGAGGCAGGATGAGATGAAAAACAATTGAGGTTAAACTTTGGGGAACTATTAACTTTGTCTGAAAATCCACCTCAAATGAACCCCAAATCTGACCCCTTCTTACGGCACCCCTGCTCTTTCCCAGGGTCAAGCCATCCCTGCCTGCCTGGTGTCATGACCGCCTCTGCCTTCTCCTTCTTCTTGCTTCTCCTTGATTCTGCCCTTGCCTCTGTAGGCAACATTTGGTGCAGCAACAGGGAAGCTTCGACAAAAGTGTAAGGCAGAGAGTGCCACCGTTCTGCTCATACCTGGCTTAACGGAGCAGCAAGGCCCTCCCACCTGCTTGCTGCTACCTCCCTGATGCCATCTCCGTCCACCCTCCCCTTTGCTCTCTCTGCCTTTTCCCCACTGCTCTTTCTGTTTTCCCTCAAGTCCTCTTCTGATCATTGCTTTTTCTCCACAGGAATATTTGTTCCTCAAAGGTCATTTTTGAACTTCAGTTCCTACTCAACAATCTCTTTCTTGGGCGGCTTTCCCTGGCTCACCTCTAGCACATCATTCCCATCCTGCTTTTGCGTGGTATCCTTCACCTCTTATTCTTGGATTTTTATGTCTACCCCTTTACTGTGTAAGCTCTGTGATGGAAAGATTTTTATTTGTTTTGTTCACTACTAAAAACTCCAATGCCTAGAGCAGTTTTAAAATCACTAGTGAACATACTTAGTCATGTTTCAACTACTCATTATATTTCTGCCTTTTGGAATTGTTTACTAGTTCTTTTTTTTTTTTTTTTTTTGTATTTCAATACAGGGTCTACAGGGTCTCACTACATAGATCAGATTTATAATGATCCACCTGTGTTCAGCCTCCCAAGAGCTGGGATTACAGGCATGAACCACCATACCGAGTCTCAATTGCCGTCTCAGCACACCCTGGGGGCAGGGCCGGCATGAACACAGGGGATTGAACCCCGGAATCCGCAGAGCTATTTGGCTGGCCTACCTACTAATACTTTAAATTTGTCTTTTTTCATAAATGTATATTAGAGCTCTCTACATTAAAGATATTAATCTGGTCAAATGACAGATAACATCAAAATTTGTCATAATTCTATAATATATTTTT